TGGTCCAAACTTTATTTCCCTTATCTTCCCTTTCTTTTTTTTCCCTGTCTTCTCTTTCCCTCTTTCTTTCTTTCCTTTCCCTTTATTTTTGCATGGGGTGTGCATAAGGCATTTGAAGCGTACACCTGAAGCACACACCTCATGGAAAAGACATTTGAGGTGCATGTCTCATGCACTTGAGACTCACGCCTCAGAGGCATCAATGCCTCATAGTATGCACCTCACAGCCTTTTGGGAAGGTGCCTTGTCTATAAGCGCACCTCCAATCATACGCCACCCATGCTTTTTAAAACATTGAATGCAATGCAACATACACAAGTTTATATTTAATATATAAATTATATATTTCAGGAAATTTTCCCACAAAAAATTCGAGCTTTCTATAGGGAAGCTTTCCTTGATAAGGTAAATACGTGTGATATGCTACAAAAAAGAATGCATTTTTCTTGCCTCTCTCCTCATATATGTTTCTTATGTAGGGATAGTAGAGAGACCCTCTCCCATTTATTAATCTCTTGTTCCTTTATACTTTGCATTTGGGAGTTTTCTATTCTCTTTTTGGCTGCAAGTGGGACCCTCTCAAGAGGTGTTGGACATTTTCAACCAAAACTTCTTGAAGCAACCAAAGAAAAGAGGGAGAGTATTGTGGAGAGCTACAAAAGGCAGCAATTAGTTGGGTAGTGTGGGAAGAAAGGAACAACAGAATCTTACTGGAAAGAGCAGAACTTTGGAGGAGGTAATAGACTACATAAAAGTGAAGGTTGCACTTTGGGTAAAGACTTTGGACTGCTTCCAGAATTTCTCAGTCATTGATATACTAAGAGTTTGGTCTAAGGTAGCAAAATCCCATAGATATAAGAGAGAATAAGAGTGGAATGGAAATCCCAAAAAGGCAATAATAAAGTAATGTTGAACTTTGATGGGAGCTCCTTGGGTAACCCAGGTGTGGCAAGCATAGGCGTTGTAATCAGAAACTCTGAGAGCAAGATCTTTGCCTTATATTCAAGGCCACTTGGTATTGATAATTCTCTGAAGGCTGAATTGATGGAATTGCTACAAGGACTGCGGTTAGCAAAACAACTGGGCCTTAGATAGTTGGAGGTGGAAAGGGACTCAAAAGTAATTATCTCATGGGCAAGTTGTAATAGACATACCCCATGGACTCTTAAATATGTCTTCAAGGAAGTGGAAAGGATTGCAAAGGATATAAATGCTGAATTCAAGTGGGTGAGAAGAAGTGCAAATGGGTTAGCGGATTCCCTTTCTAAGCAAGGGACTACAAGGCTATAGCTTTTTGGGGCTTGATTGTAAACCACCTTTGGTTTGTTTTGGGATGACCATTTGGTCATCAAGTTGTACTACTCACATATATAATTAATTTAATAAAACTACCTTTTTGCTGATAAGAAAATAATATATTGCAGGCTGGGTCAGGCTGGAAGTGTTGGGCCCAGGCATGGCCCTAAATATTTCGAGCCTAATGCGGGCCTAGGTGAGGCCACATTTGGACACAAAAATCTAAACCTGGCCCAAGCTCAAAAATTCCCAAGCTGAAAATTATCACCCCTAATGCATAGAAAGACCACGTTGTCGATTAGGAGACTGCACAAGCAAAGAGGTTGGGACCTTGGCATGAAAAACAATGCTTTTTTTTAATAGATATGAAAAATGATGCTTTTATTGCTAATTCTTTTTGGGGTCATTAGACAAGATGAATTTTGATGGTTGCAGCTTAGGGAACCCAGGGAGTATAGGTATAAGGAGTCTTCAGAGTTTAGACATCATGATGTGTAATAGCACTCTATTCTTGGGAAGAAAGGAACACCAGAATCTTTTGTGAAAAAGAAAGGAGCTTCTCGGAAGTTAAAGAATGTATTTTGATAAGGGCAATTCAGTGGCTGAAAACTCTAAAGATCTTTGGTGCATACTTTTTTGATGACCTATGGAGAAGTTGGTTAGCAGTGGCTAATACTTCTAACAGAAAGGACAGACATGGGGTTGAATGGATGCCACCAGGGGAGGAGTTTATCAAGCTGAACTTTGACGGAAGTAGCTAAGGAAATCCAGGACCTTCAGGCATAGGAGGAGTGCTGCAAAACAAAAATAGTAATGTGATATCTTTGTACTCAGGTCCTGCGGGTGTGGGAGACTCTTTAA